CCCCAAAACCCCAAAACCCCAAAACCCCAAAACCCCAAAACCCCAACTGAGCACCCTTTAGTTGAAACCCCAAAATCTCCTTACAGTATAACTCCTGGGACAAGAGAGTACAAGTTCTGTAGTTCTTCGTACTCTCTTGAGCCGCCTAGCTCGTCTATCTGGTCCTCTAGTTCTTTTATGTCGAGGTAGATTTGTGTACAGATGTTGTCGTAGTCTGTGTTCTTGACTCCTTCCTTCATGAATTTATAGAGGGGATTTGGAGGATTAGTACTTAGTAAGGAAGTTTTGGTCTCTTCTTCTGGGGGGTTTGTGGAGGATGGGAAGTTGCGGTTCATTTTGGTGACTGATGCAAGCATTTTTGAGAGAACTTTGTGTAAGTAGAGTAAGGAGCTTTTGAAAATGGAATCCAGCAAGAGTGATTTTAGCCTAGGGCTGAGGTTTGAGAAGAATTCTTTCTCTGTGAGGGATTTCACAGGGTTAAAGGTCAATTCTGTATATTCCGATGGAGTATCTGGCGCCTTTCTGTTTGTTAAACGATAGATTCCTGCTATTTGAGAGAATTTCTCCATGTTTTCAGCTAGTCTTTTTGTTATCTTCTCACTAGCAGCAACGATTCATGGTTGATTAAGGGAGTCGAATCTTGACGATAGAGTATCAAAAAGTTCTCTATACTGACCAGAGACAGCTTCTGTGAGTTCAGAAGCAGTCTTTTCAGACTCTATACTTAATCTCATTATCAAATTATCGAAGAAATCATGGTTTAGATATTGCTCAACTTTGGTAATCTCATCTAAAATTCTGACTAAATTTTCAGCACTCATAGATTTAGCGTTAAGGGTATCCTTAGTAGTTTGAATAACCTTTATAACTATCTGAAATCAGAGGAAAATTATCTTATCATGGACTTCAGGGAGAAAGAGATCTTCCCCAATAAGCTTCTCAATATTATTGATCACAATAGCAGAAACACAGTTTTCGCCAGCTTCAATTTTCCCCTTAGCAAACTCCTGCTTTAGCTGGTCCTGATAAGTCTTAATGATCTCTCTAGCAACAAGGGTGAAATAAATCTGGAGATTAAACTTGCTCATCATCTCTTTAATTGTATTTTTCTCGTCTTTGACACCCATTTGAACTAGATCCTTTATAAACTGCTTAAAACTAGTGTAATTTGAATGGAAAATCACACTGATTCCTGAAGAATAAATGAACGACAGCTTATCTCCAAAGATCTGTTGGATAGGATCTAAAATACAGTTTTGAATAATATCGTAGCCTGAGATGAAGACCTCAGCCGATAAAGGCCGGTACCGGCCTTTATGGGTCTGGTGACACATCCTCACTAAGTTCTTCAAACTGCCTTTAAAGACCAAATCAGAGACTCCTTGGATGAAGATTGTGCAGGGCAGCTTGCTCTTGTCAAAGTCTTTGTCTCCGGAGCTAGATGTCTTATTGTAGAAGCTAAAGGAAGGAGTACTTTTCAAAGCTTGCTGAGTTAGCCTAGTCAATTCTGGCTCTATTATCTCATTGTTAATCGTTCTGTAGATGTATTCCTGACAATTAGGCAAGTTTTTGAAAGCTTTTAGAATCATAAATACTTTGCGTGAATCTTTTAAAGAGATCGAAATTTTTGGGTCTGAAGAGAAGAAAGAAGAAGATTTTATCAGTTCACGGAGCTCTTTAATCAGAATGTGTCAAAATCTTTTAGTGACATCTTCACTTTCTTGGATAATTCTATCAATTGAATATAGATATGATTCATTGTGATCTTTTCTATCTCTTAACCTCTGAGTTTTTTTGTGTAATTTTGATAGAGAATTCATATTCCTGTCAAAATTAGAATTCAAGGAATTTCCTTCATCTCCTTCAGAACCTAAGTTTCTTTCTTTTCCACTCTATATCAAGTATTACTTTCAAAATTGTTCCAAGAATGCTCAAAAAACCTTTAAAAACCTCTATCTCTTCTCTAAAATAAATTTTACCTTCACTCAATCACTTGTGCTGTAATATAACACTACTTCATCAGCACTAAGCTTATCCAATTGGTCATGCAATACTCTGACTGCCTTTGAAATGTAAAGCACGTCCTGAAGCTCCTCCTTTGACTTCTTCTTTTGGTCAATATTACTGACCTTTTGGTTGTATTCATATCTATGTTTTGGTTTAAAAAGACATACTTGACTTTGGCAAAGATCTCTTCATTGTTCTTCAAACCTGATTGGATATAATCTCAAAATTTCTCCTCTGTTCCACTCATATCATTGACGAGTTGACCTATTCATAAGCCATACTGAACTTACCAAGCTTGCCAATCTTATCTGAAAGATCAATGAAAGATTCGCTCTGATTTTCAACGTAATCTGCTATCCTGGCGTCAATTCCTTCTAATTTTCCCTTCATCTTATTGATAAATGAATTGTATGTTTGCACAGTAACATCGTCATCCAAGAGCCCCAAAGTTTTCATATAAAGCACTGGATCGTACGTATCCAGATCAATTTCGGCCATGTTTCTTTAGAATTTAAGAATTTAATATAATAAATTATAAACATTTCAGAATTTTGAATGGTAAAAGGGGTTTTGGGGTTTTGGGGTTTTGGGGTTTTGGGG